TGTAGCCCCCCCCCCCCCCCCGGCCAAATTTTTGGGGGAAAATGTGTTTTGGCATAGTGATTTTTTGGAAAATGTGTGGTTAAAAAATAAGGGAAGTTTTGGGCTTACATGTAAAATTACTTTATGGGAAAATGAGTGGTTGAAAATAAATTTTGGAAAAATGAGTTCTTGAAAAAATGGAGTCCAAGCAGGGGCAATATTTTTTTTTCTGTTTGGCCGTAATCTTTCTTTCATTTTCCAAGAACAAAATAAGAAATTATGATAATATGTCCGAAGTCTAAGTACTTTCCCACAGTTCAGAGATAGAGAGCAGTTTGTTTGTATTTGAATTGGTTTTCCCTCCAATAGCAGTGTAAAATGGGAAAGTAAACTATAGACAGCTAAAGGAATCCACCAAGACCATATCCCCACAATTGGCACACCGAAAAAAAGAACCCGATAAAAAGGAGAGAAGAAGAAAAATTAAAATCATCCTATGTTTACATTATCAATCAATTATGGCTGTGTTTATATACTTGACACTTTGGCTGAAATAGACCATCTCTCTTTTTGTTTAGTAATCTAATGAGATTAGGCAAATGTGTTAATAGAAAACTATAGCATTCATCTATGCTGTTCTGCCCCACCCTTTCACTGCCATTATCCCTCGTGCCAAACCTGCAGCCACCAAAACAGCATAAAAGTCTATGCCTAAAGATATAAGATCATGGCTCTAATTGTAACAAATTATGGCAGAATAAAAAGACTAAAGAAGCAGGAAAAACAGCAGAGAAATAGAGGAGACGGAAAGAACAGATTTTATTCTTCAATCTGCGTTCTGTTTCTTGATGAGAACTAGAACCAGAAAAAATGAGAAACTGAAGTGCTGCAGTGATGAATCGGCAGCTTACAAGTGCAATTTATAGTGAGAAATTCTCCTAAAGTTTCTCAACTAATCAAACTGAAAAAACCAACGTGTTCCTAAACTTATTCACCAAACTTGCACTAATTTGTAACATCTAATCTCCAATAGACAATCAATAATGCTAAACCTAAGTCACATAACTCTATCCCTAGGGTGGCACTCTTGCTCACTCCTCCCAGAGTCCCAGTTTTTCGCCCTTGCTTAAAACAATCTTAAACAGACATTAGGAAGATATCTCAGTCAAATAAGTTTCTCTCGCTTTGTCTCATTCTCATTCCTGCTCTATCAACACTCCTAGTCCTACTCCACTCCTACTTCCGAGTTTATGTCACATATCTCCAGAGTCGAACACCAGCTCCAAGAACTGAAGTTGATGTTGTAGACTATAATGCACTCTTGCAATCATTATCCACACTACAATCCAAACCAAATTTCTAAAACATTTCATTTCTGTAGGAATTTCAGTAATGCCCGCATTCTCGTGCATGAAAGGTGACACAAACTTCATTTCCCAAATAAAAATAAAAGGAAAAGGAAAAAAAGAAACCCAAACATCAAAGAATTAATTTTTTTAATTTATCACAAAGGTAGGAAAAACTATAAGAATCACAGATTCCATAAAATCATGAAAAACAAATAAGAGCTCACATTTGAAAAAAAAAAAAAAAATCCCTAAATTTTGAAAATTGTGATATGTGAATCCATAAATATAAATGTCAGGTCGATTTTCATAACAAAAACCAGAATTGGGTGAACTCGAAGCGCACTTACAGCCATTAGAGCAACGTCTTTTGGAAGGAAAAGAGAGGTTTCACCGTGCGAGGGTTTAAGCGTCGAGCGGGTTTAGGGTAAGGGTTGTGAAAAAGAGGGAAGGATTACGGATTATAATTGATAATTCACTGTTCCACCCGGTCCATAGACTCATATTTTGTCCATGTTTGCCTAATATTTTTAATTTTAACAAGTCTCTCTGTCTTTTATTAAAATAAAATTCATTTTTTCTCCAACTCATTTTTAACTATATATTTACGTAACAAAATATTTTGTATGCAAATTAAATTTTTTTCTATTTTTTAATCTCAAATTCTCTACAAAAATCATTATTCCAAAACTCAATTTTCCCATTACTTTGACGTTTTATATAACAATGGAACTCCCAACAGTATTGACGCTAACGAAAATTGATTCTTCAATCATGATACAATACTGTTATAATTCACTAATTGTTTCTTATACTTGACTAAATTTATGTTACAATTTTAAGTATCCACGAAGCTTACAAATTTAACTTTTTATGTATCCACTAATTTGGGAAACGAAGGTATTATATAATCACGTTATATTTCTCGTACATACAAGTATTTACATTATTTCTCCGTAGGGGCGGATCCAGAATTTTAGTGTTATGGGATCAAAATTTTAAATAAAATTAAAAAAAGAACATAATATTAATGAAAATAAGTTAATACGTATTTTGATACTTTGAAAACGTTGCATAATTTCATCATTATCAATATTATTAAATAAATTTTGCTACTTATATAAACTTGTTTACCATTTCATTGACAAATGCTGAGCTAACAGTGAGTAAATTAAATTGAATATAAAAAGTAAATGAATTTAAATAAAATTCAAGTTTAATTCAGGAAGTAAATGAATTCAAGTTAAAAACAAAAGTAATTTGAAAGTAATTCGAATTACATTTAATCCATAACGACCCTAAAATTTTTTACGTCATATTTCATGTAAAACTTCCGAATAAAACGATATAAATTATATTAAAAAAATTATAGTGCAAAAATAATAAACGCTAATACAATAATTGAATTTTTTAAAAGAAAAGACGATTTAGACATCTTTTTTTGAGACGTACGTTTGATGCATATTTAATTATTTTCGATATCCGTTTGGACCATTCGATATGACGACGATGTAGTTTTCGAAACGAGCTTCTACATGACATAAACAATTTGTAGATTCCGATAGCACATGATCGCGGACAAATTTTTAAAGTTAGGATATTATCAAAATTGTCAAAATATTATTTTCAAACAGCCTACTTTGACACGTCATAACTTTTGTTATAGTTGACCACTTCACACGCCATTAATGAGTAAAAAATTAGGTTATGAGCACTTCGAAATAGTATTAAAAATGCAATATTTTGATTTCATTTGATATCCCGTAACTAGTGCATCAAAGTAGATTGGAAATGGATAAGAAAAAGGGCAAAATTTTGTGGGGTCATTTGATCTCACATGACCCCATGTGGGTCCACCCCTATTCCTCCGCATCAAACTACTTGTCTCCACAATATTTAGGAAAGTTTGTGATTAAATAATCAACCATTTATACACAAATGCACAACATATCTAACACACATATTAGGATGAATAGGTGGTCCAATAATTAAATATTGATGATAGTCTTCCGCGTTGATGCATTGAATAGCAGTAGACTTCAAATTTTGATGGAATTGACAAGCCCTATATATTGAGAGGAGTGGAAAGTTAATTGGTGATTTCAGATTTGGTTCTTATAAGGAAAATCATGCACAGTACTTAAATGAATGGAGGAATAAAAATTTAAATTTAAAAAAAAAATTCGAAATCATTGATCCTATATAACACCATATGGCTCCATCATTAATTTACCAGATATTTTCTATGCAAAGACTTGACTGCCTTGGTGTTATATGTCTCGGCTCTTGCTAGTACAATCATCTTAGAATGTTTATTCACCCTGAAGGTGGACTCCTAAGCTTCTAAAAAGGGAAATTTGTGAAGGGACACCATTGGATAACATTCATAATTGAAGGGATAAGAGATTTCTTTGCAGAAAAAGAGCGTGAGACGAGAAATATGATGTTATCCCAATTCTATTCTTCTTCATTTTAAAAAAATTCAATAATGAAAATGCACAACACTTCTACATTAGAAGTAAACTTTTCATTTTTCATTTTATGTTATTATTCTCTATTGATAGGATGAGATTATTCAAATTTTAATTTATTTTTTTAATAAATAAAAGATTGAAATCGAGTAAAATCCTCAAATCATGCTAGAGAGCCCCCATTATTTAAAATTTATTTCCTCAAATTCATTATCAATCAAACATTCTTTCAACAAAATATTTTACACCTAATAATAAGATTACTCGAAAAAATCAGCTAGCTAATAATTTGCACAAATTTCTTTGGCCAACCATCTTATGACATATAGATATTACAAGTTGACATTTTACGATGGATCACTAAGTCCTAAAAGTGCTACATGTAAATTATAATTCAATAATTAAGGTCCAGCATTTTAAGATGGATCACCAAGTGCTACATGTAAACTATAATTTAATAATTAAGGTCAAGCATTAATTTTAATTATCTACAAACTTTGTGGAAAGCACAATTTTTATCCATTTATTTACCACTCATTTCTATTACATTATCATTTCAATAATTTATATTGAAATCTCAATAAGCACTAAGATTCAAGATTCATAAAGAAGAGTAGCTCATATTTCCGCTCTTTATTTAGTCGGAGGCAAGCCCGGACACCATGTAAAAAAAAAAAAAAAAAAAAAAAAAAAAAAAAAAAAAAAAAAAAAAAAAAAAAAAAAAAAAAAAAAAAAAAAAAAAAAAAAAAAAAAAAAAAAAAAAAAAAAAAAAAATT